ACTTGAGACTGAAAGTTTAGAAAATGTAAAACCTTGACAATTAAGCAATTTATCTCCATTGTACACAAATAAAAATACTAATTATATGACTAACACAGATAATTCTGATTTATCCCCTTTGGATTTATCTTCGTAGAATTGTATGAAATCAAGGGTGTATTTAAACGGAAATCCCGATATGAACACAGTTGATAATAAACACCAATGAAATTGCTGTTAGCATTAGGAATAATTTTGCTGATATTCGATGGATGTGGTCAATGGAATCACGCATAGTATTGTATACCATGTGCATGTAGGCATGAGGTGGTCATTTTGAACAATACATGTAAATATTGGTACAATGTGTCAGCGTTAAATGCAATTTAACATTGTTTCAAATAAATAATTGAACCGAGGATAATGAACGCAACGCTACTGATTAAGGATTTGTGGTTCGTAGATTATATCGATATATTTTCGATAATGACGAGGAATATACGTATTTATTACATCATATTTTAATTCAAATAATTTCAAAGCGGAGATTTTAAATTTGTATTTCCCTCATTACAGAATTATTTCTTTAAAAAAGACACTATTATTTAGTGTCTCTAATATCATTTTTTCGAGGCAGTAATTATTAAAAATAATTATAAGTATCAAAGAAACAACTGTATTTTCATATTTCACAATTTTGCGTATACTGAACACTAAAACTACCAAACCGGTCAAATAACCGCTCCACAAGTTTTTTATTATAAGGTACACATTTTGTTAAAGTACGTTCCTTAAAATCAGCATTGATTTTCATCAAGATAAAGAACAGATGTGTGTACAAATTTATGTTTCGTCGTTTGCTTATTTATTTTTTAACTTCATTTTTAATTTTAAATTAAGTACACATTATATGTCGGTAGGTTTAGTATTACACAAAGCTTCATCGCTTTGTATTTTACGTAGACCTGAATTCTTTTTCAAAAACAACCTAAGACTAATCCAAAGAATTTGTCAACTTGCCTAAAAACGTGACATACAAATAAGATTTATTTTTATGAAACACGTCGTACGAAAGCATTCATGGAATTACAAGCATTCGTCATTAAAACAAACAGTAATTCGGAGACTGTGTTGGGGGTGTAATTGTGCAGGGGAAAATGAGAAAAGCTACTTGAAACAGGAGTTGTCCGCAGTCGCGAGCAAAGGTGCAAAAATGTCCCCTAGTCAACAGTGGCGCGCCAAAAAGGCTCGTTTAAAGTGTCCAAGGAGCTTTATACGCGTTTCACGTGAGCCTACCTGTACAACGGATCAAAGAGACCTGGTTGGAAGAGCGGAGGTTGGCCGATGAAAGAGAAAGGATCGTAAAAGAGACAGAGAGAGAAACGGGCTGCTACACCAGAGGTCCTCAACCTATGGCCCGAAATTTTCGAAAACAGTCGTCGATACAGTTAAAATTCCGAAGTTCAAATTTTTCAAGTTTGTAATTTCGACATTCTACATTATCAAATTCACCTACATACTTTAATTTCTTGATTTTTCCAATTTTCTTAATTTTCATAAATTTTCTAGATTCCCTAACTTTCCTAATTTCTTCGATTGTTCTAAATTTTTTATATTCCATAACTTCCTTAATTTTTTTATAAATATCTGAAATTTCCTAATTTTCTAAACTTCTTGAATTTCTTTATTCTACGAATTTTCATAAATATCGTGAATTTCTTAAGTTTCCGAATTTCTCCAATTCTCTTAAATTTGCAAAACGCACTTGTTCGTACCAAACCTGCTGTTCATTCAACCCACCCTGTACGAAGATGCTAGTTACTCCAGCAGATAAGTATAGATATCGTCATTGATACATCGGAATATTGATAAATAGTAAATCAAAGAAGTATCAGATCCAGATCTCATTTGACCGTCGAATGCAAGGGACACACGCCTACCTATCTTATCAGACGCAACGACCGAAACGGATGTTACGATAATGGTTCTTCTGGAGCAGCAGCATGAAGATGCCCGTATTAAAAAAGAGAAAAAAAGTGACGTAGGAAGCGCGTGCCGATAACGAGCAACATGGGCAACTCGAAATTACACGATTCACCATCTATTATCGTTCTAATCGCAAACAACGACTATACTTTAACCACGCACCAGGTTATTTAAATATTATTTATGCGTACCTACACACGTTCCGGTGTAGATAAATAAAATTGCTAGTCGAGTATTTTGTAATGCTCACAGGACTACCTTGTTCGCGTGGCCAATAAATGCAATTCATTTTGCTCGGTCAATTACCCAGATAATTCAACGGTATTCATTTCGAGGATGTAATTAATGGTTTCGATATGTAAAGCAGAGGGTTGCGAGACGAAGTCTGTGTCGATGGCTCTCCCGTGTTGTAAAATGAATTGACTGTGGCACGTAGCGTAAGTTGGAGCTGTTGGTTCGTAAATTTCAATATTTGCCGTGTTCCAATTTGGTCATTTCGAATTGGCATGATCTGGATTCAAATATTTATAATCCAGATATTTCCTGTTTCAAGTTATACCAGCTTTATAGTCGAATAAATACTCCGATAAAATGTATCGATTCAGACTGGGTCAGATTAGCCAAGTTTAATTAGGCTTAATCACTTCAGATTTAGATACCTGAGAGATATTTGCATGAGGTTAGATTCAGTTATACAAGGTTAGGAAATATGGAGTTTGATTAAGTTTCGTCAAGTAAGGTTATGTTGGTTTCAAGATTTCAATCCTTCAGCGCGGATAAAATTTGTTCCAACAAAAATTTATTTAAACAGCGCAGTAATATTAAAAATCATTGACTAAGCTTCAAAATTTTTATTAACCTCTTCCCGTGCTTTGACGAGACTCACTCTTGACGCACTTACTGCTCAAATGTGACAAACCCTACTCAAATTTTGAATACTCTTCAACTTGAAATTTAGGTCTAACTATGAGTTGCATTATCAAGGATTCCTTAATATAAAATGCACAGAACATTTTAATTTTCTTTGCCCGTTTTAATGTTATAGTTCTGAATAGTCGGTCTTGACTGACGCATCTGATAACTAAATGGCACGGGGAGGGGTTGAAAGAATCTTCGAATATGATGAAAAAGAACTCATTTTTTCTGTCAAGTACACAATTATTAAAACACCGGTTCGAAACGTAACAACCCTAATGAGTTCCGTGACCGAGGAACGAGAGAGCGAGACAAGTTAAGGAAGGAAAGCTCGACGAAAAGCGATATTCCTTCTCTTCACGCGCGAGCGACCCGACAAAGTTGCTCGATGTCCAAGGGAGGCCTGCTCCGTATACGCTTCTTCGTGTTGAAGGATGTATCGCGTTACACGTCCGTATCGCGTAACACCTCGATCTACAAAGGAGAACAACTCGCGGCCTGGAACGAGTTGTCCGCGTATGCTCGCTCTCCGTATATGTGCTCGATCGGCGATCGTCGTTGATCAGGATGTATCGGGTCCGCGCTTCTCCGGTGGCGCGCGTTTACGCGCGTATCCTCGCCGCCGATTGGAAACGGGAATGGAAGAGCGCGGGCGGATCACTGCCTACGATGGTATGCATACCATCGAAGCCTCCGAGAGCTTTCTCTCGCGGGCGACAGAAAAATACGTGAGAACGGGCATTGGGAGGAAATCGTGATTACGTGCTCTCGCTTTCGGTGAAACTCGTCACGCTGCATCGGTACGACGAGTACGGAGATATTTCTCTCCTCTTTCGAGCTCGTTGGAGAGAAAGAAAATTGAGTAAGGCGACTGTGTTGGTTGACACGGTGCACCGGTAATTGACACCTTCTTTACAGGTGAAAAAAATAAGCTTTCTACTAACAAAAATTTGTTAAATAGTACGTTGCTGGAAAGGTTTACCTTTGGAGCCGTGATTACTGGTTATCGAGATCTTATCGACGCGTTATTGATATTTTACGATGTATCGATAATATCGTTAGGTTATCGTTATCGCGAATCCTCAATAATTTTAACCTCGTCCAAAGTTCATATAATTCTAATCTTACCTGGTGTAATCTTAATCGCTTAACTAGCACAATCTTAATTTAATTTAATCTAATAATGGTATCTAATATAACAGTAACTTTATTCTCATGTAAACTTCAATGTAATCTGATAATCTCATCTAAACGACCGTAATCTACCCTAACATGACGTAACCCTAACTTAATTTAACCGTGAGTTAATGTAACGCAATCTAATATAACCTTAAATTTGATTTAATAACATAAGGTTAACCTAATATAACCTTAACCTAACCTAACCTAATCCTCGAATCTTATCTATCCTTTAACTTTATTGTAATATAATCTATAATCCATCATCTTGACCTAACCAAACTAGACGTAGCAACTCCATATAACGTTAAACTAATCTAACTTAACTTAAATTGACAGACTCGGGTGATAAAACCTCCAATTTAAGTCGGTACACAATGTCGTTCAAATCGCATTTTGCTGTTTAAAAATGTGATAAAACTATGTATCAGCTTAGATTAAGGTAGAGGTTCCAGCCAAAATAAACAGATTTAAATGATGCGATTACGCATGACTCCCATTAGTCTTAATGATATTGATATATTGTTAAATGCCACCGAGATATTGATAGCGTATCGATAATCGATAGCAGCGGCTCCAGTTAAGCTCGGAGGAAGATCGAGAGCGAACGAAAGGAACGATCGCGTTCTAGTTTCTCTGTTGCATCGGGCCTATGGTAAATCTCACGATCAACAACGAAAGAAAAAAGATAACGGCAATAGCCTTCGTGCCAGACAGTATAGTGTTTCGCGACTTCGTGGTCACGCGACACCCCTCCGAACCACGAAGGCAGCGTGGTGTCGGATAAGCGTCCGACTGGCGCATGCTTGATCGGGCGCGTTCGTGCGCGTCCGTGCAGGGTCGGACTCGTTCGCGTACGTTCGGTCAGGTTCGCGCGTTCTCGCCGCCCGAGAACGACCGGACGACTCTCTCCAGCGCGCTGAATCACAGTCTGGGTCAGTTCGCCGAATGATCGTCGCTCCGTACGGAGGACGCGTGCGCGTGTCGTGTACTGTGATCACATGAGTGGAGAGCTGTTCGATACGATTTTGTGTAGACTAGGAAGATCAGTGTGTTGAAAATAGTGTTTAGTGAACCGTCGTGAAGAAAAAATACAATTCGAATTGTGGCCAGTGGGATAATGTTTAAGCGTGCCGCCGAGAGGGCTTTCGTGGTTGAACGGAGCGAGACGAAGCTCATCGAGGAGAACAAGAACGCGTGACAGGTAAAACATAACCTCAATTCCACGGGGTAAAAAGAGAACGGGGGTGAGTTTTTGATGCGCTGCTGGCTTTCCCGGTGATTGCCCTTTGTTCGGCTAGCATTTTTTTTCCTGGAAATTTCTCTTTCTCGTTTCGTTCGTACCAGTTACACCAGTCGCGTCTGATAAACTCGTTTTCTCGGGCGGCGTAAACGAGCCATGCAACGATACGTTACCGTGAACGATTTAAAAATGGTCCTGCACGAAATTACATACTTTCGATTACACGCGTGACTTATTTTACGACTGGCAAGGTGAAAGACGCGTTCGATTATCATCGATGTTCGTAAAACCGTTAAATAAGCATCGAAGTGTCAGTATATATGTATATGTGTATATACATTTTTGTGAATGATCGAAGTTCACGTGACCTTCTCGGCCAGCCTGTTGTATCCTTGTCGCGAAGTGGCGCTTCCGTTTGCTCCGACAAGAATGTTCAAGCGTATATCATTGTGCGCGAGTGTATTTCTCGTTTGTCCACCACGCCTTGAAATCTCCTCAGCTTTTGATTTCAAACGGCGAATGGAAATTTATGATGATCCAACGAAATACTTTTTAGATTATTCAGCACGTTTCCAGACGGTGATGGATCGCGATGTTTTTTTCTTCGATTGTTAATTATCGAGATCGTTGTGGAATGAGTAATTACAAAAGCAGCTTCGCAATTATTATTCCTCATGTTTCGATAACGTGTCCTCATTTTTAATTGTATTTTAATATACATCTTTGAAGAAGTGGATCCCTTTTTTGACTTGATTGAAAATTTGCCTTTTTGATAAGTTTAAGAAACGTGATTAAAATATACGACGAAATATAATTTCGTATATAACATATTTATTCGTGCTTAAAATAAAGGTGTTCGATATCGATGACGTTTCATATATTGATAATATTAAAATATCCTTAAAGCAAATCGGAACAACTAAAATAGAATATAACGCATAATCTGACCATTTAGATTTATTTATTCTGATTCGAACGTTTAACTTAACCTAACCTGACACATAAATTCCTCGTCTAAAATTAATTATTCCTGTTTGAAATCGAGTTAGATTACATATGCAGTTTAAACACGAATAGTGCTGGCAGATTAGGTTATGTTCAAAGTTTAAACGAAAAGAAATAGGTTGGAATGATAAAGTTATCGGGTTAGGCTATATTTTTTAAGAATCGTGTAACGAATGGTTAACCGTCTATTTTATTTCGTGAACTAACCTGCTTAACCGGTGATTAAGCGAGAGGTAAATTCTGAGAAATGTTTACACGCACGTGTAGGTGTCTTGTCGGAGGAATTTCAAGCGACATTATCTCAGATCGCGGTAATTGACAACGATTAGTCACATCGACTACATTTTACGAAACTTTTCGAGCGTTCTTTCCACGTGAAAACGGAGTCGTCGTTTGTACCTCGTAGAATTACAAGGATAATCCACGGACAACGATCGATGTGTTGGCCGTTTCTCTTCTGTCGCGTTCTCAGACGTTTTAGTCGCGTACCACGCTGAACCCGTCTATCAGAGAGCTTAAGAAATTAGCATAAATATTCGCACGCATCTATCATACTTACGCTGGTGTGCGTTTCACACGCGCGCAAATTGAAAAGCAACAGATCTCGCGATATTGAAAGAGGCGAAAGATTAAGCCGAGATAATAGGCTCGATACGATACCATAAATACATTCATCGGCAGCTATATCGCCGTTTAAATGCATAGTACAGTGTCGAGAACAACTCTCTAATGAACGTATGTTTTATGATTTTTAACTGAAAAACTAAACAGTATAATCTTCCGTAATTGTAGGAATCAAATCTGCAAATTATACACGATATCAATCCTATAATCTTTTATCGTGCTGGGTATTTCCCGTGGCGATATAATGTAAGATTTCACAACTCGCGGCGATATATTGAGAGGCTATATAACAGGTGGTGAAATAACGCGAAGCTATACAACTCACAAAAATATAATATGAAAGTATACAATCCGTGGCGATATAACATAAGATTTTATACTTCGCGGCGATATATTGAGAGTCTAAATAACACGTAGTGAAAGAAAGAGAGATTACAACTTGCGAAGATATAATACAGAAGTGTACACCTCGTGGCGATATAACGCAAGGTTTTACAATTCGCGGCGATATATCAAGAGTCTGCATAACTCGTGGAGAAATAATGCGAGACTATACAACTCGTGGCGATGTAATACGGGGTTGTACAACCTGTGGCGGAATAATGCATGATTTCACAATTCGCGGCGATATATCGAGAGTCTGCACAACACGTGGCGAAATAATGCGAGACTATACATCTCGTGGCGATATAATACGGGGTTGTACAATCCGTGGCGATATATTGCATGATTTTAAAATTTGCGGCGATACATCGAGAGTCTACGCAACACGTGGTGAAATAATAAGAGAGTACACAACTCGAGAGAATTTAATATGGCAGTATACAACTCGTGGCGATATAATATAAGATTTCACAATTTGCGGCGATATATTAAGAGGCTATATAACGCATAGTGAAATAACGCAAAGCTGTACAACTTGCGAAAATATACGAGAGTATATATCCCGATGCGATGTAATGCAAGATTTTACAATTCGCTACGATATATTGAGTGGCTATATAGCTCGTGGTGAAATAATGCAAGATTGTAGAATGTGACGTGATACGTGACCTGATAATAATAGATATCAGTTATCTACAGTAAGATATAAAAACAATACACGAAATTTGTTAAAAATCACAGTACCTGTGACTTGACTCATAACCTACTAATGGTTTGCTATCTCGAAACTTTTGAAAATTCTTACATGTTATTTGAAATTTATAATACCTTGCGGAATCTGTTGTATGGAGAACATTACAACTTTCTATTTTCAAAGCGAAGTTGTATAACGTAATGCATACATATTTTACTATCGAGAGATAATTGATAATTCGTCCGGTGCAAATCTTTATCCATTTTAAAACAAATATGCGATGCAAATTGAAAAAACGCGGTGGGATTTGTTCGTTATGCAACCGAACGTAGCTTAATATTTAATGTATTACATAAACGTATGGAAACATTTTCCCGTAGAGACGGCCATGACGAAATGGTTAAAATTACTCAATTAACAAACGGGCATACGATTACGTGATTCATTCCGGCTTCGTTGCACGACTGAAATAATACACGCGGCAGAAAGATTTATCTGTGTCATAAATTGGTATGAATATACACGAAAGTATTTGAGCAGTAGATATACGTTTCATTTTAAATGACGAACTGTTTCTGCGGTGTGCAGCTTGGATCGGCTTAGAACGAAGTATGTTTACACTTGAACATCCTTGAGGTACAATTATTGTTTCAACTGATTATTAGAAGTGTTTGAATTCTCTTTTGTCTTACATATACCCTTTGTGATCTTTTGTTATTGAAGCTATTGTCACTGGTTTTATGTTCGTTTAAAAAGGTAACACAATATTGATGGTTACATGTATTTTATTGTTCACTTTGCAAGTTATATTTAAGTTAGCATAATGTTCATGGTTATATGTATTTTATTGTACACTTTGAACATTATACTTAACGGTGAAATTAGTAAAATAGTTAATAGCAAGTTTTTTATTTTATATTGAAATATATTAACTCTTTGTACCTCTTCATTTCTTTTACTCCTTAATTTACAAAGTCGATGAAGAAAGAGGTTCTCGATAAATTGTACCTCAAGTGCAGAGTGTGTGACAAATGTATTTTAATTTATTACAAGTAATATATATACACCCAATCTTATTAAAAGATCCAACAGAAATTTGATGTCGAGAATCATTAAAATTTAGTATAAGAGGAATTTCCACTTAAACACAATACGCATAACACATTTTCTATTACGTTCGTGAATAACCTATTCCCATTTGTGAATAGACAATTAAAATGTCGTAAAGCAAGCCGTATACATTGTACACCGTTTTTACAACGCCCAGTAGAATTCGCGAGCGAAAGGGTTAAACGAGTAGGCACGTAGCGACGGCCATGAATGGCGAGGTAGGGTGAGCCGAAAGTATGAATGGGCTAATCAATTTCCAGGCACAATCGTGGCATAACGCGTATTCCTAGTAACATCGTGTACACCGATACGCGATGTGTTCGCGTATAAATTTTCAATCGCTAAGCGAACGATCGCGAGCAATACGAAACGTTCGACGATACGACGTGGCCGCAAAACGTTCGTAAATAGAGAAATATCGTTCTATTTGCCTCGATGATCGAACTTCTGTCGCGAATCCTATCGAAGACGGAATTGATAGAGACGACAAAAGCACGTTTCCTGCTACGTCGAGAAAGTCTCTTACAAATAACGAATATCGAGATGTTACGAATTAACCCTTCTTACGATGGAGCCGTTTTTATTCTATGGTGGCTTTTTACTTGCGATCATTTCACGTTTCAATGAGCTTTTCTTGTATTTGTTAACGGTACACTGTTTTTTATGTCTTGTGTACAGAGATGTTCAAATTAGGTGATATATTTGTAAAATTATTTCATTCTTCAATCATTTAACGTTTCAACGAATTTTCTTGTATTTTTATTAGGTTTTTTTTATGGCTTGTGTAGAGAGATATTTAAATTGTACAGGTGCATTGTTGATGGAATAATTTACGTCGACGTGGTATAATTAATAGAAATTGAGGATATTTCATTCTTCAATTATTTAATGTTTTAAGGAGTTTTCTCGTATTTGTTGATGGTGTATAGTTTTTTTATATTCCATGTAGAGAGATATTTAAATTGTACAGGTGCATTGTTGATGGAATAATTTACGTCGACGTGGTATAATTAATAGAAATTGAGGATATTTCATTCTTCAATTATTTAATGTTTTAAGGAGTTTTCTCGTATTTGTTGATGGTGTATAGTTTTTTTATATTCCATGTAGAGAGATATTTAAATTGTACAGGTGCATTGTTGAT